AAAAGCCAACCGGTTGCTTTAATCAAACTAGTTGTTCTCCCTATGCACAAATAGAACTATAAATGGTCTATCAACAACTGGGTGATATTACGACACACTTATTACCAATTAACAATATAATAAATATTGTATGATTTTTTTTGACAAATTTTATTGTGTAATTTTATTCATTAAAACAAAAAAAATTAATATTTGATATTTTCTGTTTTATTGTAAAAAAATAGAAAAATTATCTCAAGGCCCCAAAAATTTAAAATTAAAAGTGCAAAAGAACACATTAAAATATGGAAACTATAAACAATCCGATAAAATATAAAAGTATTACAAAAAAACTCCTAACATCTGAATATTATAAACAACCTCTTGAAAAAAATTAGAAATTTTAGAAAGCCCTTGAAAATTTTAAAAATTATAGAAAGCCTCAGGAAAATCTAAAAATTGCAAAAAGTTCCTTTAAATTCGAAAATACAAACACCCTAGGAAACAAAAAGTTATATATAGCTCCCTTTAAAATCTAATAATCATAAGCAACACCCTCAAGATTTTGAAAATTACATACCCTTAAAATATGAAAATCATAAACAACCCCATAAAATTCTAAAATTACAAACCACCGCTAGAATGACTAAAATTAGAAACAACTCTATACAAAATTTGTAAAATGAAAATAACCATTTAAGATTTGAAAACTATGAATCAATCACTGAAAACCCGAAAGTTTTAAACATTCCCTGCAAATATAAAATTGCAAAGAAAATAAGGAATTTTGGTAAAATTTTTGGACAAATTTTCAAAACCATTCGGTTTTGAAATTTATTCCCAAAAAAAGACCATTTTCAACTTTAATTACAAAAACAGACCCAGTTGGATGAAACTGGGTCTGTTTTTGAAAAAAAAAATTCAAACTTCACGGGAGTTGAACTCCCGTGAAGTTTGAAATTTTTTTTTCAAAAACAGACCCAGTTTCATCCAACTGGGTCTGTTTTTGTAATTAAAGTTGAAATAGGTCGTTTTTTATAAATAAATTTAAAAAAGGGATGGTTTTGAAAATTTGTCCTAAAATTCAATTTTAACAAGCAATCAAATTGAGATAAAAACCAATATATACAAATAAAAGAAATCAGATCGATCCATGTGAGGCTTAGAACTTGTATTGTGTAAAAAGCAACGATTTTATTTTAGAGACTAGCTTCTATGCGCTTGCTTGTTTATCGCCCACCAGGTCTAGAGGCAACTAGCTGAACAGATTCAATCAGCTATACAAGGCAATCATCAATGATATAAGTCTAGACAATCATCAATGATATAAGTCCGAGCAATACTAACTGTATGATAATTTTATTATATTTGAAGCATTCAAGATTAGAACAAGTATATAAAACTTCTGCCTATTGTCATCAAGAATGCAACAACCTTACAATTTGCAACAAGACAGTATCAAAAGTTAAACAATTCAGGGTATTAGCTCGGAACAGGCTCTGGGTTCGGAGATTGTAATCGGGGATCATCAATCTCCCCAACAATAAGATCTTGATCTCTAGGTTACGGAGAGCGGCGATTTTGCCTCCCCTGCCCTGTTCCTCGGTCCCCTCCCACGAGCGGTACTGTCGGAGCCTCCTCCTGCTCTCGGCAGCCACGTGCATGGCGAACCCCTCTAGCCCCTGTTTCTTTACCCAAGCTCTTAGCTCCACAACCTCTCTGTTCACCTCTACCACTGATTCCTCTTTCCCCAAATGTTCTTCAAAAAACCCTAGATCTTCTGTTCCCCTCATCCCCAAAATTCTCCAGATCCACATCTCAAACCTCCAGATCCGCCCTCTCCACCACTAGATCTGTCCCCGCGGTGACTCAACAGCTTTCCCGCCCCATTTCCTTCCTCCGGAGCGGCGGCGGTTCCTCTTCTTCGGCGTCAGAGACGCTTCAGCTCCCGCCAGCAGGTTTCCATCCCTCTCCAGCACGTCGTCGACTGCCGCTTTCAGCTTCGTCGGTTTTTCATCTGCCTGCCTGTGGCCACCCTTCCTTCTCCTGCAGCGGGGGTGGTCCACCCTCCCTTGCAGCTCTACCGCAGTCCCCTCCAGCGGGTCTTCTTCATTTCGCACTCCTGCAGTGGCGAATCAGTATCCCCACCCCTCTTCAGTGCCCTCGTGCGCCGTCCTTAGCACCGCCGCATCCTCCGGTGCCGTCCTCCTCCTCCAGAGTGGCGAATCAGCAACCCCATCCTTCCACCCCCCCCCCCCCTATCCGGAGAGGCCATCAATCTTCTGCTAATGTTCCTCCCAAGCATCCATCCTTCGCCCAAGTGGCCAAGGGCCCCCGAGGTCCTGGTTTCATCAGCAACCATGCTCGCGATATTGACGTCTTTGCTCGCCTTCCTAGAACAGGAATTAATATCATCAATGGCTCCTGAGAGGATATGCTTTCCTTCTCCTTTGTCTCGTTAGACCTTCCAAAAATTGAGAATGTCTATGCGAATGCGTTGGTGATGAAGTTTTTTTTGTGGTCGTCCTTCTCTCAAGAAGAGCCACAAGGAAATATCGAGTTGGGGGATTGTTAATCCCTTCTCAACTAGCCCCCTCTCTTCCAGAGCATTTCTGCTTAGATTTCAGGATGAATATGAACTATTGAAAGTTCTCACGAGGCCCTCCTCGTCCCTCATCACGTTCCCCTACAAGATTTTCAGATGGCACACCCAATCCCACATTACAGAAGACTCATGCATGGCGCCAGTCTGGGTATCTCTACCTAAACTCCCCCTCCACTGCTTTCTTCTAGAATTTTTGGAGTCTGTAGGGAATAGAATCGGCTAAAGCCACAGCTACCCTCGCGAGCCCTAGTGCTGCACGAATGTGTGTTGAACTTGACCTCAGGAAACCGCCGCCTCCATTCATTTGGGTGGGATTGTTTGAAGGCTTCAAACAACCGGTTACCTATGATAAATTCCCAAAATTCTGTAATCAGTGCCTCATTCGAGGCCACTCATCTGTTCTCTGCTTCAAGTACCCCCTGGTCAACCCCCAGCCTCAGCATACAAGTCGTTCTTCAGATGTGCAGAATAGCTCACCAGCTATTCGACGTAATACCACACAGCAGTCGTCAACTATTTCTCAAGTCAAAACCCCGCTTGGACCCTCTTTCTCCACCCCTCAAGTTACTCCATTGAATCCTACAATTCCCCCTACACCATCAGATCATGCACCACATGTTTTAGTTCCATCCTCCCCTCTTACTGGAGCTGCACCAACCCCTCTTTCAGCTCCTTTTCAGCTGTCGATTCAGCCAACCAGCCCCGTGGTAGCTCCGCCTCCTCCCCTCTCAAATCCCCTCTCAAAGCCGCCTTTGCCGTCGATCCAGCTAGCCATCCCTGCTGTAGCTCGGCCCCCTCCTCTATCAGCACCGACATTGTCCTCATCCATCATCGATGCAGTAGCCCCCTTGTCTTTGACGGCTCCTGCTGCAGATTAGATCCTTCTCCAATCAGGCCTTGAGTCGGCCCCTTCTCTGCCCGTCATCCAAGCTTCCACTCCTTTCGCGGGCCTCGATTTGATCGACGTGGCATGGGAGGGACGGAACTTGATGGTCGACATGGGCAAGTGGTCTCTATTTCTTCGGGCCCTAGGCATCGGAAATTCGATCGAAGTTTGTGCGTCTCAGCCTGGCATTCCACCTCGCTCCAGATCTATCTCCTCCTCGGGTTCCCCCAGTCCGTCCTCAGACAGTGAATCAATCTCCATACTCCGGGATTCGAGCACCTTGCAGGGGGCCACAAAAAGCGAATCGTCTCCAAGGCGAAGGTGAGGACGGCCTTACCTCACAAAGCCTTCAACCGTCACCTAGCCGCATCCAGATCTTTGGCTTCATCGGCAAAGCGCAGTAAATCCTCTTTTTCTAGTTCAGTCTCTCTCCCTCTCGGTCACTATCCAGACTACATGTTAGCCTCGGTCCTCTCTAATTGCGACGCATTAGATCCAATCCCCTTAGACGGGATATACAGTTTCAGAGAGCTAGAGGCAGAGAGGGCTGAATCATCTGCCTGATCAGTTGCTTATTCCTGATTCTAGAACGTACTAATCATATATTTATCTAGGATTATGCCTTCCCCAATTCAGAGAAGGAGCTAGTTTCTACATAGATATAATCTTTTGTAAAACTTTAACAGTAGCTATATATATTTTCAATGATAGGGCATTTAGCCCTATTTTACTTCAAAAAAAAAAGTTAAACAATTCAAATTATCTCCCAATCCTGAACATCTATTCATGCTCAGTTCCACGTCTTTGAAGTTCAGACATAATATAACCATATAAGTTGGCCATAACTTATACTGTAATCGAACCTTGGCCATCATACACATTACAATGTCAAAGATTGTTCGACAAGAAATCCATGACTTCATGAGAACATACCAACTAGACCCAATAGTCTCATCACATACAGTACCATTCAGAGGAATCTAAGAGCTACATAAATCATGCCTCCCCTTTTCCTATTAACTTACAAATATGCTCCAGATCAATTTCCATGAATGCATATGCTTGTTCGTGTTCTCTAAGCCAATTGAATGTCTGGCTGCCAATTCAAAAAGCACCATGGATAGATAAGCTTTAGCTAATCTGAACTTAGCTTCCTTTCAATGGTGGACTTGCTGAGGATGAAAACACCAAGAATGATGAGGAATGCACCTGCAAACCACTGAAGAGCCATATGCACATGGCACCAGAGGTTCAGTATCAGTAAAGCATATGACACTAGAAATGCACGAGATTTACAGCTCAGCATTATGAAATGACTGTCGCATGAAATATGAGATTACAATGTCAATAGAGTCATATCATATGACGTAAAAGAAACTATACCATCATGCAGAATAAGCATTTTATTTTCTTTGATTCTATTTTCTTTGAGCAGTGCACTCTGGACAGAATAAAATGTAGACAAATATCAAGATAACATTTAGGAATAGTGCAAAGTAAGATGCACAAAATTAATGCACTCAGTAGACATTTTTCAGTCAAGTACACATCAAAAATCACCAATCGTTGAAGTTGGTAAACTTTCAGATTAAAGCCAACACAGCAGAAATGCAGTCTTATTACAGGCAATTAATAAAATTAATGCACCCAATAGACAATTTTCAATCAATTACACAACAAGGATCCTTTTTTTTGTCCCTTTCAAGAAATGAGTGGCTTAATCATACCAGGAGATTCTGAAGCAGCTTGGAGATTTTATAGCAATTGGTCAATACAGTACCCAAAACAACAGTGTTAAGGCATAAACTACATGTGACAAGAGTTCTCATATTCTCTCTCCACAACTAAGAAAGCATATGGCTCACTGACTGTAGTATAAAGAAAAGTTGAATAGTAGAATCTAGGAAGTACAGATGTTCAGATGAGATTCTTTTGTAGGACATAGGTTTTAAGGTAAACAAAGCTGGTACATACTCTAATACTTCTATCACCAATCATCAGCCATGTGGCTCTATGCAAGCCCAACATATGATCCTCATATAAGGCAACTCTTACAAAACCTTTATCCACATACTGGAAATATGTAAGTATGTACTTGAGGTAAAGGTCTTGTAAGAGATGCATGCGAACCTTTATCGATCCCTTTATCGTTCCAGTAGGTGGGTGCTCTTATCATCATCTAGAACCTTCCTGATTATATTTGAAAAAACAAGCATAATGATAAAGCAACTAGTCTGTATATCTACATACTGGAAATGAGACGTGATATTATGAGTTTAACGTTGCTAATCAGATGAAACCTAGTATAGATCACTTCGCTTTGGATCAAGATTTGATTTTTAGAAATCAAAAAACCACTGACAAGCAATAGTAATTACTTTACAACAAGAAATATGTAAGTATATATTTCCCTATCATCTGCAAGGATCTAATCATGTAGTCATGGTCGCACTTATTTTTTCACATAGCGGTTATATTTGGACGCTTATTGCAGATTTTGCCCAGATTCCTCATCATTTTGTTTTTCTAATCATGTAGCTAAAATTAAACATCTACAAGAAATGCATATTGGAAATTCTGGTGGACAATAGCCCACTTGTTTCATTATCATGTCTTCAAATAAGCACAGGCAAAAGTCTGGTTTTTTATCTCAAAAATATACCAAGATCCTTCTTAAAAGGAAAAACAACCAGCTTTGATCATGCCATGTGCGAGAAAGATTTCCCTTGTAGGATGTACATACGCATAAATAAAGAACAACATGATCACATTTGATATCATCAGAGTTCAAAAAATTAACAAGCTACAATTTGATGGAAGGTCACAACTTAAATTGCAAGGGTTAAAGTAAATAATAGTCGTGGAACATCGAGCAGGATAAACAGGAAATGTTTCATGTCCCACCATAGTCCAACCAACCTTGTTAATTAAGTTAAATTCAGTATTAGAAGCAAGTGACTAACAGGCAAAAGCAAACAAAATTAAAATACATCTCTAGCTTTAGTAGTAAAACAAGAGAGAAAATTTTAAAGTTCCACTAAGGATTGAGAAAGTTGCATCTCCCCATAAATCCTTAAACGGAATGTGAGAATCCGTGTCAGGAAGAATTTGTTCAGGATTGTTAAGCACGTCAGCACTTTCATGTCATCTCAGTTCATAGCTACAAAGTGGTAAATGACAATAATTAGCCTAAAAAAGAAAGAAGATGATGCATCTAAAAGATCTACACTGATGCAAAATAGATGTCTAAAGGAGCAAAGAGCTGATCAGTTTTATAGGCTGTGTAACAATATAGCTGAACCTTTCCAAATGCAGAAATTATCTACAATAGAGAAGAAACGAATGACATGTAAACTCAGCAACCTAACATATTGCTATTTATACCTAAAAGTAGGGAGTTACTACAAGCATAAATAAAAGAGGGAAAAAAGGGAAAGACTTGAGCTTTTACTAGCGAGCTATGGAACTATCTCCAAGACCCAAAATTTGCCAAATAACTAGAGAACCTATAAGCCTGATGGACTATTGTCAAATAATATTACTTGGTACTATCCCCACGGATGGTAATTTCTTTCCATTGTACTTCTATTTCTTTGTTCTGTACTCGAGCAACAAAATAAAAGAACATGTATCAAAACAAATTCTTAATTCCAACTCAATTAAAGAAATGCAAGTAAGTATGTTCTCACCTACGATTAATCCATCAGCAGCCCACCCTTCTTTTAACTTTGTGCAGTTAACTTAAATGAGATCTCCATGGTTAAACAATGTATATGAAAATGTTAGCCTAGTAGTTTGGCTATCACAAGACTTCAAACCCAATTATATCAATCTATATGCTTAAGAAATCATAGTATATGATCTTTAACTCATATGTTAAGCTCTGTTTGTTATTATATAGTAGTAGCTTTGACTAGTATAAAGATTGCATAGATCAATTATCAATGTACTCACACTTTCAACCCCAGCATAAGTCCAACTATCAATTTTCTTTTCATCCTCTTCACGTAAACGCTCGAGAATATGAATCAGTTTTGGAGATTTTATTGGCAATTGATCAACACCAACGGGAAAATTTTAAGATGGAAACTACATGCAACAGAGTTCTTGCTTTGCTTCTTCTCTAGTTTAATGAGATGACATACATCTGTAGTATATAAAAAAAGTAAATGGCAGAGTATTTCAGGAAATAGAAATGAATAAATGAAGTTCTATGGCCATATTTAGAATTTGAGTTAAACAAAGATTTTAGATTGTCTTTACTTCAAGGAGATACTCATGGTTGGTATATCCTCCCATCAATGATTCGTCAACAACACAATAACAAAGACTTCATCTCAAACTTGGGAGTTCCCTACTCTCAATTCAGCTATTTTTAAGATCAAGTCTTTTGTTAAATCAGTACCTTATTTTAGGACTAATGTCCTTTTTAACCACCTCAGTTTCATAGTTGTTTCATTTATTCCTACTCCTCTAGACTACCACAGTTAATATTCTCTGGAACATGTACGAACCACCTCAAATATTTACCTGCTCTCTGTCCTCAGCTTAAGCTAACATTAACTTCTTATGGATGCAGTTGTTTGATCATTTTTTATCTTATTTGGTATTTATTTATTTATTTATTTGCACATTAATCTCAGAATTTTATTGTAGCTAAAATCCTTTTTTGCTCTGAACAGCTTGTTTCTTAGTTTCCAAGCACTCAGATCTACAAAGCAAGCTGATCACAACCATCTAATCAAGTTGTCCCTTCAATTTCATGACCATTTTATATTGACATCATTATAGAATGACTTGTCAGCCATTCTCCTTTCATCCTCCCACTTCTACAAGTGCAGATCAAGGTCTTTCATCCTCTCTATGCACTCCCAAGTAAAAGTAGCCTCTCCCATAATTAATCTCTGTCTCCCAAGCATTTAGAGGTTACTTATAGTCTTTTTGACCCACATCTTTCACAGCAATCTGCAATTATTTTGTCACAATTTGCTTTATACTAACTCAAGTGGCAGTCCGTAAGAAATAGTCACTGAGCTGACTTAACAGATCAGACAAGCTGCATGAGCCCAAATATGAGTTCAATTAACCCGAAAGAATGGAGCCAATAGACAAATCTGATACGACTGCAAACTTGCCACTAGTAAAGCCTCAATAGCAAAGCAAACCGTTCAGCAGATAGAAAGTTTCCAAAGAAATAGAACTCAAATGCCATAATTCAATGCACAGAGAGTTGGGCCTGATGGAGACAGGCCTTTCACAATCCTCCTGCATCAGTCTTCAGGAAACTATACATACTGCATGTATTCTCAAAGCTTCCAGGAGGAACACCATAACTAAATAATGACTTCTCACAATCATCGTTATTAACTCATATCTCATTAAGATGGAATGTGCTATGTAGCATTATGGTGCTTTTTTTTTGGTGGCCAAGTAACACTCCCGAGTTGGTGCCATATTCCTGGCTTAGATATCTCTTATGGATTGTCAAACATGAAAATACTTCAGGACTAAGGGTTCAAAAGAGGATTAAGACGACATATTTCTCTAGGAAAATTAATGGACACCAAAATGTTAAACACAAATCAAGCCGCTAGTGAAATAGTTAGTTTTTTTATTAAACTAAAACAGAAATATGATATGATTATTTACGTTCATACACATGCAAGATGCCTATGGTCAAATATCATATTTAATTTGGTGCCATCAATTGCAGTTGTGCAAAATCTTAATATCTAGCAAGTTAAAATATATTTCCGGAATCACCTAATATAGAAGTGATTCTACTTTCTTAGATAAAAGATAAATAATAGAAGATGAAAATAAATTACCTGAGAAGGTAGGGGTTCCCCGAACAAAAAGTATCCAGCTAAACCTGAAGATAAGAAATTCGTAGCAAAGTTCATGACTGTGGCTTGAAGAGATGATAGTGCTTTAAGACTATTGACATAGCATCCCCACATTGTCACGTTAAAAAATATCACCATGTTGTATTTTAAGAGCTGCAGGACAGATATAAAGAGTATACTGAAATATTGACATGATAATAACTTTAAGAAGATAATTAATTATAAAACTAAGATAAATAATAATATAACTTTAAGACGATAATTAATCATAGAACTAAGTATAATAAAATGCAAGAATAATTACTTCCGGAAATAAAGGATGAGCACATCAAAAAGGCAGTATAAATATAAGTTACTAATTATAAATAATGAATTATAAGTACAATAAAGGTTTGTGGAGATGACATAGAAGTCTTAATGGGATGAGAAATCTGTTAAAAAAGGTTTGATCTATAACACAGGAAAATTAAAAGGAAGAGTTTACTTCCTGGTGACAATCAAGTTTGCTCCGATTATAACAGGCATAATTCTTGAAACCCTCAAATGGAGCGGATAGGGGGTGCACTAGCAAATGCAGATGATATGCGTGTGAATCCAACCTTTCTATAATGTCATGATCCTAGACGGAAAAAATCCATCTAGGATGTTGGGCACCCTAGATGGATGTTAGTATTTTAGAAAATCTTTCTCATTTTTATCTTATCGTTTTCACCAAACTACCCCTTCAGTCCTTAAAATTTAATTTGACTGTCTTTCTGTCACTTTGTATAAACCATCGTAGACGGTCTATCACATGAGCAGATGGAGAGAATTGGTGTTGCAAATGGAGTTGATTAGGATGGAGGAGATTTGGAAGAATCCCAGGCTCAGGCTCAGGATCAGGTTGGTTTGGTTACTTTCGTTGAGAATTAAAATTTTGACTCTGTGTAAATTGCTGACAACTAACCTCCTTGACTGATTAAAACTTTGATTCTGTGCAAATGGAGTTGATTAGGATGGAGGAGATTTGGAAGAATCCCACTGTCTATTGTGGTAGTAGTTAGTTTTAAGTGCAACAGTTTAGATTAACAACACCTTGACTGATTTTGATCGAGATATGTCAAGCTATATTTCATTAGGTCACTTTAGGCAGGTGAAATTGTAAGAATTTGACCACCATTCTTTTTCAAATATCGGGCACCATTTTAGCTCCGAAATCTTTGTTGTAACTAACTACTACCACAATAGACAGTGGGATTTGACAGAATCATCTGTTCGCAGAATTTAGGCTTCAGATTATTCCATGTTGGTTTACAGAACTGCACTGCAATAATAATCATCAGTGTTGCTGTAACACCGGAACACAGACATGCACACAACATGGGGTTATTTTGCTAGAAGAGTTTGTATTTATCTAATGTTTAATACAAATTCTTATAACTAGTTATCTAATTGATTGTTCTTAGGGCTTTTTGTCTTTAGGTCCAATAGTTTACCTCCCTTTATTTTTAAACCCAAGTAGTATTAGTTGTATCTCTAAGCCCAAATTTCTTTTTGTATTTATCTTTAAACCCAATTCCAAAATATAATACTCTTATATGTGGGTCCCCCTATATAAGAAAATTGGGTTTAAAGACAAATACAAAAAGAAATTTGGTCTTAGAGATACAACTAATACTACTTGGGTTTAAAAATAAAGGGAGGTAAACTATTGGACCTAAAGACAAAAAGCCCTTGTTCTTATCGCTATTTTCAAATTACAATGAAAATGACAGTTGATTAGATAACAAGATGCTAGCTTGATTTGCCAATGACTGATGAATCCCAATCTATCACATTTTTTTTTCCGTCTAACTGAGTAATCTAGAAATGCATCAGTTATGGATTCGCATGTGCACAAGGCTCTATCCATGAGAAAACACGATAACCCTTTTCTTATGTACTATCATAAATGATCTAATTCCTCAAAACAATATCATACTAACCCTCTTTCTTCACATGGAACAGCAATAATAATAATTTTAAAAATTGACAATAATTTTGTGCTCATCGCTGATTATCCTCAATTCATAAAAACATAGAGATAAGATATTGCATCAAGGAGACTTATTCGTCTCATAGAAATAGATAAAAATAGAATCGACAATAGATTAGGGTTATGAAGGAAATGGATTTTATGGGGGCTTTAAGATGCAAGATCGATCAAAATAGAATAATACCTGAGAGGAGAAGAACTTGGCAGAGACGGCGGCGAGAGCAGCATTAAGTCCAGCTGCGAAAGCCACCCGTAGTCTCGCCTGTAATATCTGCCATGGGACTCCCCGCCACTGTGGTTTCAGTCGGAGGTGAATGAAATGTAAACGGCCGGATCGGGTCCGGCGAATTTTCAAAGATTGTCAAAATAATGGTTCAAGTAACTCGCAACACGTTATTAATTTAGATTGGGTTTTTACTTAAGGGCTTGTTTGGATTGAGGGAAATGAGGGTGAAGGGAAGTTAGGGGAACCATTCACTTTCATTCACCTTGTTTGGGAACACTTAGGAGGTGAAGTTAATTCACCCTAGTTCCCCTTGGTTCACCCCCTAATAGTATAAAAATTGTTACCCCCCAAATTGGGGTGTAACCAAGGGGAAAGGAATTCCCTTCCCTTCCCTTCCCTTCCCTTCACTCAGTTTCCCTTAACTTCCCTTCACCCCCTACAAATCCAAACAGGCCCTAAGACTTGTAAGACATGCACATGTGTTGCACGTGCGGGCTATGAGTGTATGTAGGTGCAAGATGAAATTACTACAAACCATCTTATATGTCGATGAAATTGATACGAACCACCTTATATATCTGTTTATCCTCTCAATGTCATACTTTTGGGTAATTTCTATTTTAAAAAAATATAAAATTATTACAATACCCCTCAGTCTAACCAAATGAAAAAGAAAACAAAAAACAGGAGAAGGAGAAGAGGAGGAGGAGAGGGGGAAGAAATTGAATCGGCGGATGACATAATAGAAGAAAGGGCAAAGAGGTCGGTCCCAGCAGTAAGAATAGAGAAAGAGGAGAGGAGGGGGAGGAGGAGGAGGAGGAGGTAAGGAAGGTGAGAATGGAGGAGGAGGAGGAGGTGAAAGGAAAAAGGAGGTGAAGGAGGAGGGGAGGAGGAGGAAGAAGAGGAGATTGACAGGAGAATGAAGGAATGAGGTGAGGGAGGATGGGGAAGGTGAAGATGGGGTAAAATGGGTATTTTAAAAAAAATTTGACTGAATAGTGATAAAGGTGTGACATTGAGGGGATAACACATATATAAGGTGGTTTGTATAAAAATAAAACATTAAAGATGGTTTGTACAATGTCACCGACATCTAAGGTGGTTCCCATGAAAAAACCTTTTCTTAAACAAGTGCTTCATGGATAGACTTCTGCTAGTTGCACATCCCCTAGATGTACCATTACCAGTCTCTACTCTTTTAGGTGAGGTGTCCCTATTAAAGAGTATCTGTAGGAGATGTGTCATCGGTTTAGATGAATCTGAGTTTTTCATCGATCTGATCATTTTGCGTATGACCGAGTTAGACGTCATCCTTGGTATGGATTGGTTATCATCCTACCACATCAGTATCGACTTTTTTGCTAAAACAGTTAGTTTGTGAGCATCTTATGGGACCGAGTTGATTGTAGCAACCTCACAAGGCAACCAATTTGCGGAGTCATTCCTGTCGTACATCGAGGAGGTTATGTTACGGGATCAGAGTGCTAATTTGTGCGAGACTAGAGTCGCCTTAGAGTATTTTACATCTTACTCTATTAGCTCATTCATCTCAAAAATGTATACATTAGATTTTCTATTAGAAACAAAAATAAATTTTCCATTTAAGCTAACAATGCACTTATCCGGTTTAAAGGAAATATCAAAACTTTTATCACTCAATTGGCTAATGCTAAGAAGATTATGATTCAAGCCACTAACCAAATAAACATCTTCTATTACGGGAGAATGTATCTTACCAATGCATCTAATACCTATGATTTTACCTTTCTCACCACCACCGAAGGAGACGCTACCTCCTTCAATCCTTGATAGGGTGGCAAATAGCTCTTTGTTGCCCGTCATATGATGTGAGCAACCACTATCAAGGTACTGTAGGCGTATAAAACTGCTTATAGGTCCCTTGACACAGCTCGGCGCGATGATTCGACAAATCGACGAACGTTCAAGCAACGAAACGAACTAAAGAGGCTACAAAGCTAACGAACTGCGGAAAACGACAAAACCAGCGCACCTGGGGGAACTCGGCCCGGGTGGCTCGGCATGAGCCGAGCCACCCTCAGGTGGCCCGACTCCCCCCCCTCTCTCTCTTGTGCACAAAGGCACAGTTCAGAGAGGCTATAAATAGGGGGGGTGGTTGTTCATTTGAGGGACTTCTTCTGAAACTTTTGAGAGAGCCGAAACTCTGCCGGATTGTCACCTCAACTCGGAGATCTGAAGGCTTGAAGACTTGGAGACCCGGATTTGATTCTTAGCGAGCACCCGCACCGAAAAAGGCAGGAGTTCGAGAGAGTCTAATCCTCAGATCTACGTCGTTACACTCCGGATCTAAGCTTGGTTCTTAGATCCCGAGATTCGAGCGGTCGTTTCCTTGGTGAAACGATCCCTCCCGGCTATTATCTCCTTGGTGGGATAGTACCCGTAATACGTCGTAGATCTGCTTGGATCCAGATCACGCGGTGGTCCACGGTAAGCAACCCCGGCGCAGGCAAACAACCCACAGAAGCAAGAGACCGGATAACAGGATCTTGTGATTTGTTCGGTAAAAGAGAGAAGTTGTAATTTTGATTTCTTTGTTTTATTTTGATTTTCATTGTAAGCCGGATTTTATAAAAAGACCGGATCTCTTTGTAACGCATAAAGTTGTTAACTGAGTACAATGAAATCGATAATGAAGAAAACACCAACTTTTCCCGCGAACAATCTGGCGACCACAGTGGGAGTCTCGGAATTTCCGAGACACCCCTAGGGGTGTCTCGGAAATTCCGAGACACCCCAAGGGTGTCTCTCGGAAATTCCGAGACACCCCTAGGGGTGTCTCGGATTTCTTGAGACACCCTAGGGGTGTCCAAGCCCCCCTAGAGGTCCCCTAACACCTATAAATACCCCCCTTACCTCTTTGTTTTAGGGGGGGATTTTTGGAGAGCTTGGCGAAGCCCTGCTGCAGTGAAGAGTACCCGTGTGCTTCAACAAGAGGAGGAGAGGCCTTGATCAGAGCCTTCATCACCCGTCCGAGCCTTAGTATCGGCCTTTAGCGTTGATACTAAGAAGAGCTATTACCTCGCTTTAGCCGAGGTATACGCTTATAGCTTCTAGATCTCACGCGGATCGACGAAGCTCTGCTTCTATATCCCTCCGCGGATAGACGAAGCTCTGTCCTCAGAGTTTCTAAAATCCCCCCGCGGATAGACGAAACTCTGCCCGATTTTATCGGACCAGATCTGAGTGCCCCGGTGGTCCACGGATATCAACATCCCCGTCACAGGCAAAAGACCCACGCAAGCAAGAGATGACAAACAGATCTTGCGTTTGTTTGAAAAGAGTTGTATTTATTTTGTTTTCATTGTGTACCGGTCTTATAAAAAGACTACCTTTTTATTTCATTGTAACGATCAAAGTTGTAATGAATGCAGCAATGAATACAGCGACTTTTTCCGCAAACAGGTACCACATCTCTCTACGTCGTGTTCGTGATGTTCCCTATAAGAGATGAATGTGTAGTAACTTTAGGTACCCAAATCTTGGGTCCTAGGCTGTTAGTAAACTTGGTACCTTTGGGTACCCATGTCATTCTATAAAAATCATGATTATCTTTAATCTTACAATGAGTGGAGATATGACCATGTCTCATGCAATATGTGCACACAAAATTTCTCTTGTGTGTAGAAGCATGAGATCTATGAAATCTATTTCTCTCATGGTGATGATGACTAGCATATGCATGAGTAGGTCTAATTCTACCACTTTCAATTTTAAGTCTTTCAATCTTAGATCTTAATTGTTTTACCACTTTCAATTTTAAGTCTTTCAATCTTAGATCTTAATTGTTTGTTTTCAAAATCAAGATCCCCTAGTAATTCATCTTTTAAAGCAAGAGATGATTATAGTTGCTCAAGTTTGGAATCACAAGAAGTATGTAATTTTTTAAAGGAAGAGTATTATTTTGTTATTCTTTTAAACTTAATGTTTAACTCTTCTAATGCGGTTGCTAGATCACATTGCATGTAAAAGGATTAACTTTCGGTATCAGATATTACCTCCTTTTCATAAGCCATAAAGCAAATGTTGGGATCATGAATAGCAATCTTTGCTCATTCTTCATTGCTATCTGAATCGCTTGGTTCGGATTCATTCCATCCGGCATACATGGCTTTCTTCTTCTTATATTTTAAATATTTCTCCTTGAGCTTAGAGCAATCTTTGGCAATATGACCCGGTTCATTGCATTCAAAGCATTTTCCTACACGTGAAGAAAATTTATTGTTAGATCGGGGATTAAACTTCTTATTCATTTTTATGAGTCTTGATATTCTTCTAGAGAGGTGAGCCACTTCTCTAGAAAAATCAACTTCACTATCTGATGACGAGGAGTTATCACTAGCTCCCTTGAGAGCTATGATCTTTATTTTTGGTGATGGCTCCTCAATTTCCCGTGGGGGCACTTCCTCTTTCTCCTTCCCTTTGAGTTTCTTCTCATGAACCTTAAGCTTGCTAATGAGGCCATCAAGAGCTAGAGTAGTAAGATCATGAGCCTCCTCTATGGCCGTAGCTTTGGATTCCCATGCCGGAGTCAATGAGCGAAGGATCTTGTAGTTCGTCTCTTGGATAGTCAATTTCTTGTCAAGACCATGCAATTTATTGATGATGTTAGTAAAACGAGAAAACATAGCATCAATGGATTCATTAGGAAGCATTTTAAATAATTCATAGTCATGCATAAGCCCACTAATCTTAGACTCCTTAACTTGGGGGGTTCCTTCATGTGTGATACATAATTTTACCCAAATTTCATGTACGGTTGTACATGTGGAGACCCTATTGTACTCATTGGGGGAAAGGCCACAAATTAAGGCATTCATGGCCTTAGCATTGAGATTAGCTAGGAGTCTTTCACCGTTAGTCATGTTGCTAATCTTGGACTTTTCTACATATTTCTTTTCTATGAGCTCTAAAATGTCAAGATCAATGCGATGAAGGTAAATCCTCATTCTAGCCTTCCAATAGGCAAAATTACTACCGGTGAAAAATGGGGGTCTAGTGGTGGATTGTCCCTCAAGCATGTGCACATTCAATGAAGCCTCCATATGATCTTTTCTCTAAGGTGGTTAGACCAAAAACTAATATAGAGACCAAGCTTT